ACACACACACATCACACACAACTGCACGCACACACCACGTGCTACACAATACACACACTGCATACACATCCCACAACACACACTGCAAATATGCCATACACTGCACACGTGACACAGTGCACACACAACACACACAATGCACACACAACACACCCAGTACCTATACACCATGCTCACAACACTGCATACATACCCCACACCAAACACACAATACACACACACACACCACACATCACGTCCCAGCTACCCACGGCATCAGTAGCCTGGGATGAGGCCCCGTGGTCACCTGGTGACTGGTAGACCCAGCCCTGGCACAGTGACCCCACCCACGGGTGCTACCCCCGTGGTCTCCAGGAAGCCAGCACCTGCTCTGGGACCCCACTAGGGGGAAGGGCTGAGGCTGCGCCTAGAAGCACCAAGTGTGTCCACGGTGCTTGAGTGCCTGTGGTGTGCTCTGTGTGGGTGTGGTATGCGTGTGTGGTGCGTGGTGGACGTGTGCGGTGTGTATATGCCATGGGTGAGGTGTGCATGTCTGTGTGTGGTGTATATGCCATGCTGTGTGACTATGTTATTTGTGTGCTGTGAGTGTGCTATGTGATGTGCGAATATGCTGTATGTGTGCAGTGTGCACAGTGCTGTGCTATGTATCTGAGTGTGCTGTGTGTGCCGTGTGGTGTGTGAGTGTGCTGTTTGTGTGTACTGTGTGTAGATATGTACTGTGAGCATGCTGTGTTACATGTGTGCTGGTTGTATGCAGTGTGTGTTATGCCTGTGTGTGTGTGGTGTGCTGTGTGTATAGTGTGTGCTGTGTTTATATGTGGGATATATGTTCACTGTGTTGGTATATGTGTGTGTGATCATGTGCTGTGTGTGCACTGTATACGGTGTGTGTAGTGTGTGCTACGTGTGATGTGTGTACGGTATGTTCTGTGTGTATGTGGGTGTTGTATGTGCCATCCGAGTGTTGTGTGTATACGGTGCGTGTTATATGTACACAGGGTGTGTGCATGGTATGTTGTGTGTACACTGTGTGTGACATGTGTGTCTGTGTACTGAGTGTACAGTGTGATGTGTGCAGTGTGTATGGTATGTTGTGTGTGGCATGTGTGCTGTGTGTATGTGGTGTGTGCTTAGTGTACGGTATGTTCTGTGTGTGTGCTGCATGTATGGTGTGCTCTGCATGTGCGGCGTGTGTGTGTTGTGGCACCCAGCACTGCGGAAGCTCAGAACCTTCCTCCCCAGCCTGGCCCCTGGGCCCATGACCAGGGGTCAGAGTGCTGGGTCAAGCCACTTGCCCCGACAGGCCAGGAGGGCTGTGGGGGTGGAGGCAGAAGGGTGGGGGAAGTGGTAAAGACGGCGGGACAGTTCTGGGAACTGTGGTTCTCCACACAGGAAGGGGGCCTGTGGAGCACTCACTGGGTGCTGGGCCAGGGTGAGGGCACCGGCCCCACACCACACAGGTGCCTGTCCAAAACGCTGGAGTGCAAAGGTGGGACCCGCTGCTCCCACAGCCCCTGGCTCCGAGCCTGACGTGTTGCACCATGGCGGCTCTGCCCTTTGCCAGGTGCCGGGGTGAAGGGGCATCTGGGGGTGCGTCTCCCAATGTCTGGATGCAGGTCCAAGACAGGGACTGGGGCGAGCTTGACGTGGAGGCTGGCCTGGGCTGTGGGGCCACCTGTCAGCTCCAGGGGAGACTGGAGGCCTGGGGCTATTGAGCACGCGTGCAGGCGTGCGCACGCGCGCGTGCGCACACACACACACACACACACCTGGTGCCCTGCAGGCTACAGGAAAGGCAGGACCCAGGGGGACAGGCAGGACCCAGGGGGCCAGCCAGGGTCCTGGCTTCCCTCCTGAGCCCTGTGCCCCCACTGTGGCCAGCCTGTCCTGAGGAATCCCACAGTTCCTCTTCTTGCTGCCCAACGGTCGCTTCCCCAAAGCGCTCACCAGCCAGTAAGACCCAGCAGGCCGGGTGGCCAGACGTGCTGGGGGAGTCCAGCGCCAGGCTTGAGAAACCCAGGGGGCACAGGAAACCCCCCCACCCAGAGTCCCCGCCATCCAGGAAGGAAGGCGATGGGCTGCCAAGTGACAGCCAGCCACGTGTTGTCTGGAAGTAGGAACGGGTGCCAGTCAGCAGGGCCTTCGCGATGGCTACCTTCCCATCGGCTGCTGTGGACCTGGAAGGTCCGTGAGGTGGGGGAGCCCAGTCCCAGGCGAGGAGCGAGGACACGGCTCCTCTCTGCAGAGCAGTGGCACCTCACCAGGTGCGGGGGCAGCTAACATCGCGCCCACGTCACAGCAAAGAAACTGAGGCTCAGGCAGCTTGCCACCTGCCTCGAGGCAGCAGGGGGTGGGGGTCCTGCTACCCCTGAGCTACTCCCAGACCATTCCCAAGGGGCAGGACTCCCGCACTGCTAGGAGAGGACACTGCATTCCCTACGTGTCCTCCTTCCCTGCCCCACCTGATACCCGCCTCTCAGGGAGCCCCTAAAACCAGCTCTGCTGGAGAGAGGACTGGGTACCTGCCGCCTCAGCCACTCTAGAGCCGGGGGGAGAGCGTGGATGTGTGGGTACAGGCAGGAAGCCCAGGGCAGGTGGTGAGCGCAGATGAAGGGGTACAGGCAGCCCTGGGGCAGGAGGGAGAACCTGGATATGGGGGTGCAGGCAGTGGGCCTTTTCCTCTTGCTTCCAGGCAGAAGCCAGCCAGCCTTCTAACTTCCTCCTCCCACATGAGAACTTGGGTCCTCTGAATGGAACTTAGAAGCATGTCAGTCTCTTTTCTTGGCTCCTCCATGCCCCCGGTGGCTCCCCAAGACTTGCTGGGTGCCAGGGACACAGGCCCCAAAGGGCCAGAGCTACCTCTCCTTGGCTGTGGCCCCGCAGGCCACCATGCCCAGCAGCCATCTCCTGAGCCCACTGGGTGCCAAGCCCTTCACTTGGCACTTAGCACATTTTAGCTAATACCCCAACCAGCCCAGGAGGGAGGCTCGAGGGAGCCCACTCAAGAGGGTGGAGCAGCTGAGGCAGCGACCCCACCCAAACTGACACCAAGGGGCCACCCGTGGCCATTACACCGAGAACGTGAGGACACAGGGCACACAGGGGTGTCTGGTAGGGTGGGCAGGCGACTGTGGCCACCACAGCTCTCAATGTTCAGGGGGTGGGGACCTTGAAAAGTTCCCTGGAGTCCCAGCTCAGCAAGGGGATGTGAAGCTGCCACCTGCTGCCTGGGAAAGCCCCAGGCTCACCCAAGCCCCACTACCAGGGGAGGCCTGCTGGGACCATCCGGGGAGGGGCTTATCTGGCTGTTGCCTGCCTGGCCACTCCCTTCAGACTCACACCACTTCTGAGAAGCCCTCTCCTATGCCGCCCCTCGCCAGCAGAGTCCTCGGTCCCCTCACCCAGGCTCACCCACCCTTTCGGAGTTGGGTCTCCAGGGGCCAGCTGAGGAGTATCTGGACCTCAGTTTACCCCACCCCCCACCTGGACTGCTGCCTCTTCACAGGAGGCTCCTGGAGCCATCCTGGGAAGCCCATAGGCCAGGCGGCCCGGCCTCCCTGTTCCCCGCCCCAGGAGGAGGCCCTGGCCACAGCGACTCCCACGGTGCCCTCCCCAAGCCAGCCCCGAGCAGGCCGGATGTGACCCTCACTCCCAGCTGGGAGTGAGTCCAGTCTCTTCCTCCCCCGTGCCCCTCCCAAATACCTCCCTGCCCCAGACCCACTCCGGCCAGATGGAAAACAGATGTCTCCAGTCCCAGCCCAGTCTGCTCCAGGGGCCATTTTGGAAGTTTACTCTCCCCATCCACGTGGGACAGAGTCCGTCCTCCATCCATCTGTCCCTCTGTGAGGGAGGGCTGCGCAGATTGGGATGGCAGTCCAGCTAGGAAGGGGCACTGGAGAGGGGTGTCACTGCCCAGGGTCCAATGGGGTTCCCTGCACTACTCACAGGCACCCTTCCAGGCCAGCAAGGAGTCCCCATACCCCCCCTCCAACTCCAAGCCTGGCTGGCCGGAAATGGAAACAAAGAAAGAGGCAGGGATGGTCACTTCCCAGCAGTGGCCACCGAGGCCGAGAGAAAGCTACCCTCCGGCAGGGGGTGGCTGGGAGACCCTCCACACTGGGCTGCCACCCAACCACCAAGTGGGCCCCTCTTCCCAAAGCGGAGGGCCTGGGCCAGCACTACGCACTGACGCCGGGGAGCAGGGCCCAGGCTTGGACACGATGCCAGGTCTCCCCGACACCCCTTGCCAACTCTGAATAGCTGGGCTAATGGCCCGCAAAGCCTCCCAGCTCCCTGGAATCCAAGTCTGCGGTGGGGGTTAGGGTGCGCAGGGTGGGCGCCCCCGAGCCGGGCCACCAGACTACGGGACCCCTGCACGCGGGCATGCCCAGGCCAGTGAGCTTCCGGTCCGCCTTCCGCCCGGGACTGGGAGAAGGGACCACAGGGCAGAGGCTGGGCAGGGGCGGAGCGCGAAGCGGGCCGAGGGTCTGTGACCCAGTGTGCGCTCCGGCCCCACCACCCTTCTAGGGGCGGCAGCCAGATGAGCTCATGGGGGCGGGGCTCCTGGCGCCCCGCCCCCAAGCCCCCCTTCCGTCCCCGCGCAGCAGGGTGGTCCCAGAAACCGCGGCCCGGAGTCCCGGCGAGGCCGTCACGGTGGAGAGGGGCCCAAACCCCTCCCCTGTGGGTCGGCGGCTCTGAGGGCCCAGGTCACCCGCACAGTGCAACCTCAACTCCTTAGGACTCAGAGCCCCCGACGCGCAAAGGCGGGCGCCCCAAAACCCAGCGTTCGGCCTGGGCCGCCGTCGGGGGGCGCAGTGGTCCCGGGAGGCCCCTTCGCCGCGGCCGACCGGCCCCGGACCCCCACCGCCCGCCCCGGCGCCCACAGGTGGCTGCAACTTGGCGGCCCGCAGCGGCCGGGCCTACCCGACGTCCCCCAACCTCCCGGGCCTGCGGGGTCGCCGCGCGCCCCGGCCCCCGCGCCCCGGTCCCCGGCCGCTCACCCAGAAGACGAAATTGAAGACGAAGAGCAGGTACTTGATGCATTTGGTGCAGCCCTCTACCCCCATGGCGGCGCGGCGGGCGGCCTGCGGGGCGCGGG